GCTCAGCTGCAAAGTTAGGCAAATAAACTTCTGTGAATATATCTAATATGTAGACTTCGTAAAACTACGTAACTTTATTACACGCGATCAAAGTGTTAACAATTTTCAGTGCGTTTGCCCGATTTCAATGAAACGATTTCATAACGCACGGCGCAACTGCAAAACCGATGACGCACGAATGCGGAGTGACATCGTCGAAAATGTAATTTTCCCCGTGTGCATTTAAAAAGTGATTTTCTACCAAACGCGTCGCAACAAATAAATAGATGAAAATATTATACATAAATGATTATTAGTTTACCAATTGAAGTAGATACTTCTAGACACGAACTGTCAATTAAAATAGGAACCAATTCGACCGAAAACCAAGCCACCGTATGAATAATAAACGAAATCGATGAATCGCTTGAGTCACTGTAGAGACATCGCATTTCATGTCTACAAAATTATTCAACGAACGTTCAGTTATGTTGCTAGATTCGTAGGAAGTATCGAGTACGAATGACAGTGCATCGACCTAAATTAAACAGTACAGACGTATCGAAACTGTTTTGTTTCTATGTCGCGTAAAAGGCGGAATAAAACGTAACGAGAGGAAGACCTGTTACCTAACAGGTACGCGTCAAGTATTTACTGCGGTTTTAATCGGTAGAATACCTGTGCCGTAAATACCACCATTATACAAGTGAAGTCGTGGCCGTAATAAATGAAAAGAGAAGGTAAAATCAATCGACTAGCCGATCTTCTCTACCAATATCGTGCCACCGAGTTCACGAAGGTTCTCGTATTACCGAGCAACGGAATCGCGAACATTGATTCAAGCCAGAAACTAAATACGTACGATTATTCCCGGCTGGGGAGAATTGTGGGTCGCGTGTGGATAACAATACGACAGTAACAGGCGCAATTTGCGCGGTATGCATGCGGAGGAATCGGGGAAAAGGTATATGTAATGTACGTACACGTCCGACTGAGAGTAGCAGTGAAACGGCTCGATTCGTCTTGAATTCGATTTCACGGTCCGTCCCGGTGGGATTTCCGTCTCGAGTCTGGCGCGATCCGAATGCCGACGAGGCGGCCGGAGCTCCTTCAGGGTAGAACAAAGGAGCGGAAGGTACGTGGACAGAAAAACGATAGGGAGGATCGTGCGTTTTTTCGGAAGCCACGATCCCGTTCTCGTTAACCTACTTACTTTTATTCACAGCGTTTATTCATCCGCTTCATGCAACGCGTTTATACGTGTAAGTAGTAACGTATATGGGCGTTTGCGTACGTGTGCACTCATAGGTATATCTGTACGCGAACGTACAAGCGTAAGTATGTTCCATATATCGCCGGTGGCGCATTCGCATGTTCTATAGGGAACGGTACACCGAAACGCATTTTTTATTACGTTTCTCGTGTGCTTAAACGGTGGATGAGGATAGATCGTCGCGAAGATCCCACGAGTTGATTCTGGTCGTCATTTCCATCGAGCCGCGGTCTCCGTTCGACGATTACTTCTTGGCACGACGAACGCGAAACCAGGATCCCGGAACGTACGATCGAACGACCGTGAGGCCGCGGCCGTGTAATCGTTTCCAGGAAAATCGATCCTCGGCAATTAACATGGGCGAGGTTGAGGCCGCGTCGTAAACCAGTGAGAAACGGGACATACCCCTGGTACGGGTTCATCTTCGCAGCGGACAAAGAGGAGATTCTTCGTTCGTCCGAACGAACGAAGGGGTCCCGCATATTCTGTCCTGCGGAACGAGGAATCGATTCGCGAAGAATAAGTTCCGCGGGGACAGCGGAAAAAGGGAGGAAGAAGAGGGTATCGACGATGTTTATCGATAGGGTAGCTCGACCCAGGAACGCGGGCCGTGTTCGTTCCTAGGCCGATCTTGCCGTGCGCCGCGGGTGCCGTCGTCTTGTATTATCGATTGACGGAGGTTATGTGGAGTCGAGCCGGGGCACGACGATCCCGGAGAACAGAGAACGAGAGATCCCGTTCTAATCGTATAGGTACGCGAAATGCCGAGGGACGAATAAAATCTTTTTATGCCGCGCGCCCGTTCGCGCTTCCTCCTTTCCGTCTTTTATCCTTTATCGTCATCCCCCTCCTCCCACCATTTCGTGTGACGTTCTTCTCTTCCTCTGTCCCTCTCCCTCTACTCCTCTCTCTCTCTCGCTCGCTCTCTCGTTTCTCTTCGTTGCACTCGTGCGACACAGCGTTCACGCTGCTCCCTTTCGCTCCTTGTCCATCCGCGTACTTTTTTTCTATTTCCTCCCTTTATACGTGATTTTCGTTGCTGGTCCCGTGCTTAGAGTACGAACGCGTCGCGAGAAAAGGGTGGTCGGAGGCGGTGGCGAAAGGGACAGTCCACCGAGTGAAGCAGATATAAAAGAATCGACACTCACCGTTTGGGATATGAGGGTGTTAAACTGTCTGACGAGACGCACTGGAAGCCTGGTTGGCAGCGAGGACGAACATGCTCGCGACGTCAAAAACGGCAGTATTGGCAGTGGCGGGATTGGCGGTGACAGTCACGGCAGCGTTGACGGTGGTAGTGACGGCAGCGATAGTAACGGCAGCGCTGGCGGTGACGACGACGACGACGCTGGTGACGGCGGCGGCGGCGGCGGCGAAGGCGAAGGCAACGGCTACGACGTCGATTACGTTGGGATACGCGGACACGGCACTGACGGCGGCAGCGTTAGCAACCAAATCACTTTTATTCGAACGATCTGGGGACACCATCTCCTTGCTCGTCCGATCGCGTGCACAACCGACGACGATGCCGACGCCCGCACTGGCCACGACGCACTGTGGTCGCGCTACCACGAGCACCATCGTCGTGGTCTCATCGTCGTCGCCGTGTCTGCGCTGACACCACGGTGGGGAATTAAACGGGTGACGAGGAAGGCGGGATGCGCCCGTTCCGATCCAATCCAGTCCGGTGCTGTACGATCTGATTCGATTCGGGACCAAACGGTGACTTTCGAAGAAGGCGGTGGTCGTCCCCCGATCGACTGCACGACACCGATGCTCGATGGCAGGAGACGCCCCAACACGGGGCACCTAGTTCGACGTATGCCGAGCGACGGCTCACCCCCGCGATCCGTCTGCGCTCGGCTCGGCTCGCGCAGTACCGTAACCACCACGGGTACTCGCCCACGCAGGATCCCGAACGACACCCCCTTCTCTGCTCCGCTCTCTGCCTCGCCCACCCCTTCGCTCCGCTTCCCGTACCGCCGTGTGCACTTCCGTTTACCGATACACCCTCTTCCCACTTTGTTCGATTCCTGAACCACCACTTAACCGCGAAATTTTAAAGAACGCGTTTAATTTCCGCGTGTATCATCACTTCATCGTCGTCCAATTTGGTCCGTTCCGACGTCGACCGTTCCCGATCGGGCGACGCGTCTGACCAGCGATCGGTTTCGACTACTGATCTATGTCCTTTTCCCGTACAAACGAGGACGATCACGACTGTATCTGTCCGAAACACCACACCGACGTACACCAATCAATCCCTTTATTCGTACCGTCTTCGTTCGACCCTCGTTCTTCAAGTACACTTTTCTACTTTCGTCGTTGCTGAAGACTTCCGTCGCTCCTTCGAACGCGACGTAGTGGACAGGCAGCGGAAGGAAGGCGGAAAGGAAAGAAAAGGAGAAAGCCGGAGATTTTTACGAGCCGCATGCGAGGTTCAGAGAAGCCAGCCAAGCGAGAGCTGCAGGACAAGCAGTGGGAGTAAACGTATGGAATTGTTTTAGTCGCGGGCACCAAGAGCCCTTTGGGGTGACCTGAAGCCGTCGGGCACTCAGCGGCAAAGCGGGGGGTTAAGGAAGCCCTTGAAATCAATAGCCAGCCGCTATACTGCCGCCGCCACCCTGATCAGGCTGCTCTGCGCTGTATCTGCCACTGCCACCGCCGCCGCTACCGTTCTCTCTCTCTCTCTTTCTCTGTCCCTCTCTGTCTCTTCTAGCTTCGCCTTTGCCATCCTCCACCACCACCTTCCCCGATTCTAATTTATCTGCACACTGCACACGTTCAGACCGACCAGGTTCTCCTGTACGGCCTTAGTTCACAGTCGAACGTCTCGCTACGAGTATCGTTCGACGAGCTCTATCGAACCCAGCCACGTGTCAAGTGAAAAACAATTCCGATCATGTCTCGTTCCTTAACAGCTACCACTGGCAAAGACAACCGTGTCAGGTATACTTTGCCTCGTCTCTTTTAAAAAGATCTAAGATGGAAGTGCGTACTCTTTGGAACAACGTCAAAAGCGCAACGAGATAATGAACAGGAACGCGAACAACGAGCATTCTTGCGCAAGAATGATACGGCAATGTTTTCGCTGATCTCTGCATCGTTTCATATCTCGACGCAAATACCATACTTTTAGACATAACGTGTATGTACGTACATACGTATTTGCTGGAGCAAATAAATATGACTCGGCGATTCTTTAACGACGGGATTAGAAGATGACGAGACATAAAGGATTCGAATTTGATAGTCGATGATAATTTTTGCGTCGAAATCTTTAGGTGTATCTTCGGCAACGTTTGCGTTCCATCCGTGGCTGCCCCTTCCTTCATCCGCCCGTTTAATGAACGCGAGGCGTTGGGAGAAAGTATGCGAGTGCATGTGTACCCGAGTAGTCTGATTATAAGTTGACCTACTCCACTTTGATTCGCGTATCTATTTTTCGGGAACGAGGAGTTTGAAATTGATCTATAAAATTATCTCGCGCGCATACACACACACACACACACACACACACACATACACACACGCACCCGATCGATACGCGACCACCTATATTTACCACCGATCTAATATTATACGATATCGAGCAACCTTCGTGGTAATTGATTGATGATATATTTAAAATAGGTACATCATTGTTCGAGCCCTATTAGTACATAGCGTAATACTTTATTTCACGTACATAGTAAGAAAAATCGAATGCTACATTCGTTTTGGAACAATTATCTCGTAAATACGCTTGCTGGCTAACGCTTTTCAATACACATGTATAACATATTCATTTAATTACGATCGTTTCAGTAATCATCGTTCAGTAATTCTATATACACAACCATGTATCGTTTCCATCTTCATTTTCCGCAACAGCGATCTGTTCGTTTCGTTTCGTGAATCGTTATTTATCGTGTTCATATTACGTTCGTACGAATCGTTACATTTTATTCGGAACAGGTAATGATAAGACGAGATTCTGAGTAACGAGTGGGTCGATCTTGTGCTGAAAATTTTTTATCGTCGCCTCTCCTTGAACGCAACGATCTTGTACTGTAATGCATAGTATCGTTCGACGAGCTCTATCGAACCCAGCCACGTGTCAAGTGAAAAACAATTCCGATCATGTCTCGTTCCTTAACAGCTACCACTGGCAAAGACAACCGTGTCAGGTATACTTTGCCTCGTCTCTTTTAAAAAGATCTAAGATGGAAGTGCGTACTCTTTGGAACAACGTCAAAAGCGCAACGAGATAATGAACAGGAACGCGAACAACGAGCATTCTTGCGCAAGAATGATACGGCAATGTTTTCGCTGATCTCTGCATCGTTTCATATCTCGACGCAAATACCATACTTTTAGACATAACGTGTATGTACGTACATACGTATTTGCTGGAGCAAATAAATATGACTCGGCGATTCTTTAACGACGGGATTAGAAGATGACGAGACATAAAGGATTCGAATTTGATAGTCGATGATAATTTTTGCGTCGAAATCTTTAGGTGTATCTTCGGCAACGTTTGCGTTCCATCCGTGGCTGCCCCTTCCTTCATCCGCCCGTTTAATGAACGCGAGGCGTTGGGAGAAAGTATGCGAGTGCATGTGTACCCGAGTAGTCTGATTATAAGTTGACCTACTCCACTTTGATTCGCGTATCTATTTTTCGGGAACGAGGAGTTTGAAATTGATCTATAAAATTATCTCGCGCGCATACACACACACACACACACACACACACACATACACACACGCACCCGATCGATACGCGACCACCTATATTTACCACCGATCTAATATTATACGATATCGAGCAACCTTCGTGGTAATTGATTGATGATATATTTAAAATAGGTACATCATTGTTCGAGCCCTATTAGTACATAGCGTAATACTTTATTTCACGTACATAGTAAGAAAAATCGAATGCTACATTCGTTTTGGAACAATTATCTCGTAAATACGCTTGCTGGCTAACGCTTTTCAATACACATGTATAACATATTCATTTAATTACGATCGTTTCAGTAATCATCGTTCAGTAATTCTATATACACAACCATGTATCGTTTCCATCTTCATTTTCCGCAACAGCGATCTGTTCGTTTCGTTTCGTGAATCGTTATTTATCGTGTTCATATTACGTTCGTACGAATCGTTACATTTTATTCGGAACAGGTAATGATAAGACGAGATTCTGAGTAACGAGTGGGTCGATCTTGTGCTGAAAATTTTTTATCGTCGCCTCTCCTTGAACGCAACGATCTTGTACTGTAATGCATTTCTCCGCAGATCATGCCCGGTATTCAGAGTCGTTACTTATATTTAAGATTGCCTCAAGGGGCCTTACGAGTGTGGAATTTAAAAAAAATTGAATTTTTCGAATTAATATCATAGTAAAATTTCAACGTCGGATCTTAACTAGTTTTCGAGTGGCAACCTTCTAATAGTATTATTCCCAAGAATGACCTAAATTTTTGGCGGTCACACTGATAAGGTCCCTTAAGTTCCTGTTTCTTGTAGAAGACATGAAAATATGAAATAGTCAAGGATAGCAAATGCTTAAGACGATCTTAAGAATAAGCAACGACTCTGAATACTGGCCTATGTGTATATGTTTATAATAATAATAATTTTCATAACACTGTCAACAGGAACTTGAGGAACAGGAGTCACCTATTCGATAAGTTGCAACGTGAATCTGTTCGATGGACAATATGTATAATTCTAAAACAGTTCCCATCGTATATTTCACATATTTCGCGTATACCTGTACCTTAGGTGTATTCAATGGACAATCGTTAACCCTCCTGCGATCTCCGGGACAATTCTTTATCCTTACTCTTTCCTTTTCTCTTTAAGATCTTTACTAGTATTATTTCGTATGTACAAATTGTTGTAAATAAATAACGTGTATTTTATTAAGGATGTTATAATACCTTCTTCAGTATTCATAGATTGAAAATAAAATGAATAGAGAAATGAAGTTCACTTGTAAGGGCGATTTGTCTCTTGAAGATTTTAAACGTGTGTTTGAATCGAGGAGCGCAGCAGGGTTAATTACTTTATACATACGTTTGATACCCTGGAATATTAGGGAAAGTATAATAATTACAATTGGTAAATATTAGGAATGTACGAGTGGCCGAGAATTCGATACCTGAAGTTCCGGTTCGGAGCGAATACCGAAAGTTCGTCGAGCGCATTTTGGGGTATTCGTAAGTTCGGGCTTCGAACTCTGCTCAAAACTCACAATCGTATTCGATGCCCGTCGCTGCGCAACGATTATGAAGATGCTTTCAAACTTGCTTTCAAAGTCAGTTTGGAAAATCAGACGGGGAACGTAACGACGGATCCCGAATTGAGTTTCGAGAGAGACACGTGGTTTCCGTAATTACGGACACTCGAATGCTAGTCACAGTTTCGGAATAGACCCGTGGCTCGGGTGACCGAATCTTCAGGCAGCCGCGGACTCCTACTAAATATCATATGTATACGTATAAAACGATAAAATCCTTATTTGATTTTAATTAAAAAAAACTATTGCGTTGTGCAAGTCTCGATTACTGTTGATTGTACAATATACGCAAAATAAAATGTGTGTCGTCATTCTACCAGTTACTGATACGACTCATTGAAAGTTAATCTAAAATGTTTCGAAATCGATTAGATAGCTATTGAGCGTTTCGATCAGAAACTCGGAGAACGATGGGAAATGTGAAATGATATATAAAAAGAGTTTATCATATAACATGTATCGCATGACAGAATAAATAATACAGTAAACTACACGTTGTATGTATCATATAAATAGTTCACTCTCGTGTATGCTACAATTTATGAACTTAGGTTTGTCATCGGAAAGTTAGGAAGATCTCACAGACAATCAGAAAACATTAGAACGTTCGAAGGATGATGAAGCACAAATAGTTTATATACCTATTACTGCTTTTCTACCTCTAAGGCACAGATATATGAATGTTTAAATGTAGCCCTATACGTAATAACTATGACGTGCTCGATAATTTCGATAGTATTCGTGATGTGTCTCTCTCTCCCTTTTTACTATATCGTATATAGTATATATACATATATCTATACATGTATACGTAGACAAATCCGTACGACTATATAGCGGCAAAATTGTTTAGCGGTACCATATCCGTGTACACCATGCACCACTTTAGATTCGATCCGAGAGAACGGATCATTGTCAGCAGAGAGGTACAAAATACAAAACTGTCGACCATGTGACATCCGAGATATCTTTATTTCGAATTTTTATAAGACAAACATAAAGAAATAAAAATACACTGAAGCGTCAAAGACTTGAATGCGTCAAAGACTTGAATGCGTCAATTTCTTATAATGATTATTTACCATTGCTGATGGATAGAGCCAGCGTATCCAAATTCTGAGTCATGAATGCACTACCGATCGGCCAGCCCCTCCGCCCCTAACGCCGCCTCCCCCTACGAGAACCGTACCATCCGGACTATGCACGATACACAATTAATATTTAATACGATATCTTAAAATACATTATGTACAATCTTACATCGTGATTGTTAAGTACTGTTAGAAGTGTCGAACGAAAAAATCAAATTCTTGTTGCTTCTCTTTGCCGTGTGTAAGGGTGCACCGCAGTTGTTAAACGAACTCGTTTGAACTTTTAATCGAATGTACACGTTTAATGGGATACAAATTAATACATGCTTCAAAGAATTTGTGTTTCATAAGTTTCTCGTATCTCGTACATAATTTAATCAGTGGCAACATGGCTTTCAAAGACACAGCCGCAAAGCGAGATTTGTAAAGCGAAAATCCTTTTATAAGAAAGGTGATTAACAGAAGTAATATACAAATTCCGAAGATACACAGTTGTTTAGTTTTATTTATAATTAATTACATAAATTAATGGTAATAGTTTTTCGATACGTAACAATAACAAAATTTACATTGGTTTCCCGGGCACTTATAGTCCAATGTGCCCCCATTCGGCTATAGTGCCTTAACTTCTTAAAAAAGGATTTCGTACCTGACCGCTTTACCGAAATATAAGCACACTCCTGCAGCGAATAACTTCTATTATTGTAACCACTACCCGTTCATATTTATAGTTATTATGAACAATCGTATTTTACGATTGGTTTCGATCAGTACGTGGTATAGCAGGGGGAGGGGCAAGCTAAGAAACACAGGGGAAGAGGGGATGTGCCAAGTTACGCTTTGAAATAATGACTGCTCAGATCATTTTTGCCAGCACGTATCCCAATATGACCATAACAACAGCGACAAGAATGGTGGTAACATTTAGTGACGATTCGCTATTGTTGTGCGAGGTAAGCGTTTTTGCCGACGATATATTAGCCTCGCCGGCCAACAAGACATTTCGTAACTGCAGCAAGTCCTCCTAGAAACGAGATGAGACAGAAACAACAATGAGTCCATCGACGAATCTTTCGCTCGGTTCGATTAATTGTGAAAACTGATAATTTAGTTTACCTTTAATTGAAGATTCTCCTGCCTCAGAGCACTTCCCTCTTCCCTCAGCTGGTGAACTTCTTGTGCTGCCTTATTTAATTTCTCCTCGGCATCTCCGTGTATCTGTTAAAATAAACGTCTCGTCTCATTGTACAACGATATTCGTGAAAATAACATTCATAGTGATCAATACCTTCGGCGATGACTTGACAGCGTCACTGACCCCTTTATTTTTATCATCATTCGAATTAACTTCGGATTTAGTCGTCGTCGTAATTGTCTCGGATGTGGTGGTCTTCGTCACGGGATTTTCGAACACGCATTTGAGTTTTGATTCCATTAATTGCTCAGGATCCATTCCCTTCCACTTTGAAGAGAAATAAGATTTTATAAAAATAAGATGATAAAATAATGAAGAATAGGCAAGTTATCGCGATAATTATGATACGTACTATATCAGGATTTTCATCATCATCATCCTGAGCTACCAACGACTGTACCATAAATTTATGTTTATTTTTCTCTGCCGGGTCGAAATCAAACGGTTGAAGAGTGACTGAAAAATGCAATACCTAGTGAATTAGCTCTCGTGCGATTGAACTTCAAAATAGAACAGATTCAGTAAGTTAATCATAGCTGTAATTTTAATCCTTCGCTTAATACCAACCTGCTATTTGAGACGTTCGCTTTGGAAGTATTGTCCCTGAATTAGGGCGAACGCAATACCTCCTCGGAGCCGTCGTCTTGATTTTAAAATGAACTTTATCATTTGATGGGTTAGTTAATTTCATGTAGGATGTGACTGTTCTTTCCGTAAATGGGCCTATAATATGACGTTAAAAGGTTTCATATTTACTCTTCCGTTTCGAAATTCGTGAACAAATCGTCGCTATTACACGACCGGAACAAGCATTAAACACATTACTTCGCAGCTCATCATTTCTTTCAGATTTATGGGAAAAAATATCATAAATATTAACGTGAAATAAGAAGACGCTTTTGCTTGTAACGCTTCAGTTGAAAAAAGTAGCGTGTAAAGATGGGTCGTTTGTGTCCAGGCGAAATTTACACGCGTCGAACTGTCGCTTTCTTTCGATGAAAAGATTGTTTATGTAAATTTATTTCTTCGAAAATATTCCGATTCTTCTACAAAGCCGAAAGTTCAATAACGCTGTATACATAATTTTCGATTTAATTCCACCATGTAGGGAAAACGCGCCGAACACAAACGACCTTTACACGATAAGGGTCCTGAAAACCGTTTACACAGTAGGTGTTAATTTGAACCATTTTACCACCTGTAAATATTATTGAGCATAATCCATGTATAAATTAAGAAAAAGGAGGAATGTGACTTTCAATATTTTGTTTGCGCGCGTTTATCTCCTGCCATCAGATTTAGTAAATGATAACGTCCAAGAGTACTTAATAGAAATGACTAAGTATCGTTGTACGAATCAAATTCTAAGCAAGCTTTGTCCAACGGTTCTGAGATCGTACGAGATATTTAATTCGTAATCGGGCATAAATAAATTTGCCGATTAAATATCGACGTCCGACGTACGGACGGATAAAAGGTCGATGAAAAAAAATCAAAAAAGGCACGCGTATAATACAATGAACGCATAAGATCTAGTCCGACGAATATTGCTGACTGTATATCAGTTAGAGGATGAGGGAGGTGAGAGGGGAGGCCAGGAATTGAATCGTGATGTACTTAGGTTTGACATCAAATGACGTACAACGAATGGGGTTAGGTACGACCGAAAAGGCCGACGATTTTCGCTGGGGTGGCTACGCACGACGCTGTTCAATCGCAAATGAAAATATAACAAAATTGGCTGGCGGAGTCAACCTTACGTCATCTTGACAACGTAGCGCACCGTGTGCAGCTCGTGTTAACTAACCAACAAAAGTGCCCGAGTCAGTCACGAATCGAGGGAGTGAAGTCGAGCAGGGGATCGGAAGATAGGTGAAAGGAAGAGGAACGCGCAAAGGAAATGTTTAATGATAGACGAACGATTCATCGTTTGTAACGTACCCCTGAACCGAAGCTCGTTTCGCGGTTCGATAATTAAAATTTGTTCTGGCTTCACCATCCTGCTTTAGCAGCCGACCGAATCCTTTGAACAACTAACCGCAACACTTTGGACCGTGTGAATAACGATACGTGACGACGTCTTGACAGGTTAAATAGTACCCGTGATTATGATTTTATACAACGGCACCGCCGTGTCTCACACTCGCAACTTTCCGGGATTCCGTTGGACTAATTCTGATTTTTGCTCCGAATCGAGTACGCATGCGTCGCTACGGAAATTATCAGGAGTACAACGAGTACGGCCATTACGTCACGGACAGACGTTACCGCGGTAATCATATTCGCTACTTTTGCGCGTTCCGAAAAATGGAATGGCGGTAAAAGAGCGATGCGAACATGGGATCATCGATGAGAGCACCGAAACGTACGATCGACGGTGATTTTCGTTAAACGGAAGCGCAACGCGATGGAATAAAATTATCAATTATCATTTTCGTAGGTCATTTTTCTATTCATAATTTCACCAATCATTCCCAGCTGTTATATCGACCACTAATAACGTCGTGATCGTATGCCATAAATTGCGTGCAGAGTAATCTCCTCTCCTCACTCAGTAGCTATAACCACCTGAAGCCACGTGATATTAAAGTACATTGCAGAGAGTGCAATTGGATTATTTAATTTATTATTTAATAAGTACATGTAATTTGCTCGCCTTGCGTATAACACCGAGAAGGTTTAGCATGTACTACACGCTACAAGTACATACGTGATACGTAAATAAGTACATGTGCACTCGTTGTCAGCCAGTGCAGCCAGTGCCGCGCACATGCCCATCGAGATCGAGATTTATGTATTAATATTAAATATTTAATACGATTTCAAAGTTCCTAGCGCTATGAGTTTTGAGGATCAAAACGCTATGGCCCAGGTCCAACCTAATTTAAATGCAGAAGTCTATAGGAGCATGACACCGGCGGACAGACCACCGATACCTGACAAGCACTTGCAATTTATTTCAATTTATAATGGTAATACGCCGATAAGGGTTTTTCTTGTCTTTTATATCTATAATAACACAAAGAATTATGTTCTTTCAATAGAAAATAGTGCTATTCTTGGTGGTAGTAACATGACGGACAGATACTGGAGTGGCACTGTCTGGTATTACAACAGTATTGCAGATTTTGATAGGAACAAAGCTTATCTAGCAACGAAAACAGAAAGTGGAGTTTGCGACGCTGTTTTTTTGGAAAGCGATAAATTCGTAATTGGGGAGGACAGCGGTGCATTGCAAGTTCTTCAGTTAACTAAGTCGTCTGATGATTCACAAGAATTGCAATGTGCAGGATACACTTGTTTACATGACGACAGTCTTTTAAGTCTTTCCGCATTCGAAGATAAATGCCACGTAGTTTCTGGTGGAATGGATTGTTGGTATGTCACGTAATTGGCTTACATTAAAAGACATCTGAGATATGTAGTAAAAATTATAAATTTATTATAGTATAAAAGTATGGGATATAACAGAATTAATGGCAATACAATCGTTCAACTCTGCTCATACGGATATAGTCACTTGCGTCGATTCTAGACCTGGAAGCTTGAATGAATTCGCGTCGACGTCATTCGATTCTGAAGCACTGTTATGGGACACAAGGAAATCGAAACCAGCGCTAAGTACGTGATTAAGCATTCACACAAGTACTAATGTTACTATGAATATATGGTAAAATCTATGTTGTTACATATTAGGTATTCTGAAGAAAGACGTGGGTTTAACAGCGGTAAATTGGAATCCCAGTCTGTCGGAGCTTTTGTCAATAGGTACTGACGATGGGGAAGTTATAATAATTGATATCAGAAAGACAAGCCCAAAACTATTACAGGAATCACGTGTTTTTCCTAAACCAATACATAAACTCTCATTTAATCCGAATTCTGAAAGGTAATACAAGCTGATGAATTAAAACGTTTCTGGTATAATACACTTTACTATTGATTATCAGGTGGGAGGAATTAGCTGTTTGCTGCGACGATGTTACGGTCGTAGTACTAGATATGAACTTTTCCTTATCCGTATACAAGGATGATCGGCATAATGACTTCACACGTGATTTTGCATGGTTTAACAATAATTTATATTCTTGTTCCTGGGATAATGAAGTATTACAACATGTGGTACATCCTTAGAATAATTAGAAACTTATTAATATGATGATTACTATCTTTCATTCGATTGAATGTTCCTCTGTTCCTATACATAAAAATAGATTTTTATACTGGTACATTCGATTATTTTATTTCACCTTCCTATAATCAATATCCTCCATACCAGTCGTATTCATATTTTTACAAATTGCTTGGAGTTACATAATTGTTTTCTGTAATAATTTCATGTGTACTTCTCAATAGACAAACGACAGAATATTTATATAAAATGTAAAATTAACAGATACACTCAAAGGACCCATTTATTATGATGAGAAAAAATTATTTTAATTG